GAGTACTTTTCTTCCCTTTCAAGAAATAAAACAATTCATGCTTAAAACTGAAATAATTGGGGAAAAAACCCAAACCAAACCAGAACACTTTTTTCCCTAGTGTTTGTGCTTTAAAAAAAAAAAAAAAAAAAAGTTGGCTTTAAATTCCAAAACACAAAGAACCTCAAATATTTCAGGTTTGATCCAACAGCCATTGAGTCAGCGGGAGCACCACCGTTGTCTTCAAGAGGCACTGGAACAGGCCCTCAGAGCAACAGACCTTCAGCAGCATGGCTGTGTTCATATTTAAAGTAGACAGTTTATGGCAGTATTCATGAAGAGACTGACAAATAAGAAAAAAACCAAACCAAACAAACAAAAAACCCACACTGATCGAAGAAAGGCCTCCAAATAGCCAGAAAAATACCCTGTTAGGGAAAGGTTAACTTTTGGCTCAATCCAGCACTGTTTTCAACAACCAAAACAGTGGACATTGGTTTACTAGGTGGCTCTGCTCCTAATTTTCAACCAACTTGCCCAACACCTGCTGGAAGCAATAGCTTCACGTATTAGCGAGAACATTTATGGCACATCATGCTACCTTTCGAAAACAGGAAAGATGACCTTTGATAGTTGTATACGATTTTGCAACATACTTAAGGCATCCTTATACTTACAGTACTGTTAAAACCCACTCCAACAGAACTGCTTACCCATTTTTGAACAGAAAACTTTAAAAAAAAAAAAAGCCATCATCTACAAGAAGATGTAAGCAATCACCACTGACTTTAAAAGAAAAAAAGAGGAAAAAGTTCACCATAACACTAAAACATTTTTTTGGCCGAAGGATGTCTGGGAACTATAGAGAGATTCTCTTATTGCAAAAATGAATTGTGAAGAAACTTCTTCCCAAAACAGAGAGGTCCTCCTGAGCTACAATGTACATCCAAAGCCTAGCCTTGCCCATTAGATGCCCCATATGCAGCAGGAGGCTGACAGGACTCACACAGCACAAGGCACAGTGATCTAGGAAACAAAAGATAGACTGCCCATGGGACAAAAAACAACGAGCGTTGGGGGGAAGGGGCAAAAATCCCCAAAGAAATTCAGGGTTCACTGATCCAAAAGGAAGCTACTCTATTTTGTCTCAGACTACGGGGTAAGACATTCCCTTTTCAGCAGCTGTTTACCACCTGGCCACCTAAAGTCTCCACCTCGTCCACACTGTCAACACCATCAACTGCTGGGTTCTTTTTTCCCCCGAATCGGTACAGGGGAGCAGAAGGGTAGATGTTGCAGGACTGTGCAGCTGCTACGTATTCAACAGTGGTGGTAACACGAGGACAACATCAAACTTGACAAGCGGCAGCTTTCACTGTTGGCTACATCCAAGGTGCGTGTATGCATGCGTGCATCTGCATGAAAAGGACACACACACCCCCTAAAAAAAGACAATTTGTCTTAAGATGAAAAAACCAAACCAAACCCAACCCTGTTTTCCTTCAGGAATCTGACCTGCACACAGCAGATTTGGGCAAAGGAGGGGAAAAAAAAAAAAAGAAGAAAACTGCGGGCGGTACGCACCTCAGCTACCCCTTATCGCCACTCTTCCAGGGGGTCCTTAGCATCTTGCTGAAAGCAGCTCCTGGAGCGGTACAGGTTTTCAGCCACTGTCGGATGGGCTGAAAACTGCAGCCACTCGGAGCTGCTTCACCAGCGTTTCCACCGGGACCTGCCTCAGAAGAGCAAAGAGACGACAGGTGGGAGGAGGCAACCGAGGCCGGGACCCATTTTTCCCCTTTCTTTTTTCTCCTCCTTTTTAATCTTTACATGGAAGTCACAGCCCTTAGACAGGGCAAAATTCACCTCTGCAGATGGGGCCAGCAGAGATGTAAATATGATCCACAATGTGCATCGGAACAAACATCTCTCTGGAAAAAAAAATAAAATCAACTATTAAAAAAAAAAAAAGTGATCATTAAGAAGTATGCTTTCAGGTTTTCACAAGTCATGCATCTCTTCTAATCTGAGAAGATTAAATATTTTTTTTTCTTTTTAGGCAGTGATTTAAAAATAAATGGCTAAATTATAGTTAGCGCCAAAAATAAAAAAGCAATGAGTCCTCTTATGGCTTTGATCTCCCTTGTGAAGGGTAAAAGTAGAAGAGTATTGCCACAATTAAAAAAAATATATGTATATATTCAACACTGACAAACATACTATTTTTTCCTTTGCTTGTGACAGTGGGTCTTTGCAGTACTTATTAAGGAACTCAAGCACGTTTGGATGCCAGCAAGGTGGAGCAGAGACCCCGCTGCTTCTTTCAACTCCTCATCAATTTCTTGACATAACTCCTTGAGTGCTTTGTTGCTAGGCTGACTTTCCTCAGAGGTATCTACACAAGGTTGCGATGCATAGCCACTGTCTCCAAGAGGATCATCTTCATAGTCAACGTCTGTATCCACTTCGCTGTGAAATCCTTCGCTGCCATCGCTTCCGTCATGGCTGGTCTTGGAGATAAATTCGTACACCTCATCAAGGGAGGACAAGGAAGACACGCTGGACCTAGATGCACAGCGCTGGGAACCCATGCTGCTGGCACTGTAGTTGTGATCCTCCTTCGGATCGATATTGGTGGCCGCAGAATCGTTTTCCTGCAAATTTATGGAACTGGGAGGATTGAACGCACTGCCATAACTCCTCTTCTTAGGTGTCTTCAGAGGCTGAGGTTTCTCACCTATTAAAAAGAAGATTCGTCAGTAAGCAAATACTCCAATGAGATCACCTGCAAAATGAGCACACTATGGCCAGCTGACTGCAAAGTAAGCTGAACGTGAGCATTTAAGAGTCGTAATATCTTGTGCACATTTACTGTCATCCACAGAGGACAACGGTCTTTAGCTAATCACAACTAAGAGCTGGAGAAACAGAGAAGTAGCTAAGAAACTCTTCTTACCATCTAGCACAAAAAGAGCAGGGGAAGAACTTTGCAGAAAAAACAAAGTTAACTGGGGGAAAAAAAAAAAGAAGGTGGTTCTATCAAACTCTGTAATGCTAGCAGAAAGAATAATTAAACCAGAATTGCTTCTTGACTGCTCTTACTATTTGGAAACTAGACCACACTCGTTTCCTGAAACTTTATAGAGAAAACAGTTAGCTACTGGGTAGAGAAGAAAAACAGAGTAAAATGGCTTATGCTTACAGTCCAACATCCCTTGTTGAATGGAAGTATTTAACAGCATCATTGCAGTAGCAGCATCAATATCGGATTCTGTGAAGGAGAAACAGCAAAACGTTAGATCTCAGGTAAGCCTGACAAAATGAGGTCCTTAGAACATACAAAGAATATATATCTGCATATATTGGCCTGCAATAAAGAGCAGGGGGAGGGAAAATGTACGAATTTAGACAGAGCATGACTCTCATACAGTGCAATACAGTTACAGAACAGTCTCATATCTTAACTATGATTTTCAAAAGCTGAATTCTCACATTGCACTTACCAAAGCTGAAGCCAAGAATCAGCGACATTAATTAGACATTCGTATGATGATGCTGTTGCTATACTTATCAACAAGTGGTTTTTGTTTGTACCGCTTGAGAGAGAAAGATTATGCCTATGGCACAGCAAAGCATCTCAGCAGCTTTCATACCCTGGTTACGTGAATATGCAAGGCTAAGGAACAAACGCGCCCGTTAACGCAGCACTAATTCAGCACACCTCTCTCCTCCAGCAGTATTTTTCACACTAACAACAAGTCAAACAGAAGAAATCGAGAAGACGAGGGGGGAAAGGGCACTGAACTGCTTGATCTAGAAAGCATGGGGATCTAAATAATAAATAGGCACTTTAAAAGGTTTAGGTGAACTGCGACGCTTTTAGCTACAGCGACGAGCGCTGCTGTAAACCTCCATCTTTTGCCGCACGGAGTGGATTGCTTACATCTCAAAAAGGGCACCTTGAGGATATTATGGCAAAGAGTGACATTTCTAACCAGAACCAGCTGAAAAGGAAGAGAAGCAAGCACGCCTTTCCCACTCATTTCAGGACACGCTCACGCACTTTAAAAAAGAGGAAATCCAAAGTCTGCCTTTGCTCACTTCAGCTATGGACGATGGAGAGACAAGGTATATATTCCTCTCCTTATACAGAGAGAAATAAGTAAGACTATATATATAAGGTGGACTAAGCAGGCAAAAGAGGAGCAAAGATACAGTGAGCTCTCACATACGACTGGTGAGTGGAGAAGCGGGGCTGGAAGGCAACGCGTGGAAGGCGCTGGCAGCGAGCAGAACGTGCTCTCAAAAAAAAAACTGGGGTGGGAATTGCCGAAGTGAAGCGTCAGCAATGTCATTTTTGATGGCATTTCTTCCCGCCCCCGGCCCCCCATCATATGCATTAACGATGTTACTGAATTTGAAGGGAGGGTTAGTATTGGGAGGGGGACTGCAGAATTGTCAGTTTGGCTTCCTTATCTTATATAATTGTCCGCAACTTCATCTTGGTTAAGGAGAAATTTGAAGAAGGTGACGTCGCCTTGGGAATGTTGTACCAACATGGAAAGGGGACTGAGCTGCTGTTTCCAACACAAGTTACAAAACATACATGTTCCCTCCTTGTTTTCACTTTCTATCATTTTAAAACCAGCATACTTTAAAGTCTATCCCATTGCACTCATGAGATTATTTTATTTTATTCCATTTTGTCTTTTTTTGGCAGCAACAGAGCCCCTGAATTTACAAGTCATATGTTTACATACAATTACAAAACTTGTAATTTCTAACAAAAAGAAATAATAAAAAAAAGGGGGCATGAAGAGTTAGTTTCCTCCACTACCATAATCAGAAACTGAAATATTCCCATTCCTTACTTGCTATCACAGACATTTTATTTTAACATATGATGTTGGTATATAAACACCACCTTGTTAAAATGACAAGCAATCAGAGGCATTAATGCAACACAGAATTACTACCTGCAAACAGTGTTTCTGCATGTTAGTAGCCCTGAAGAAAGAGGAAAGAGACTTCTGCAGCATCTTCTTAGCAGTGCTCTGCGTCACCATTAATGTGCTTTGGCGTCATTTGCGATCGCTCTCCTCGATAGAGCAGGATTTCCCAAATCTATGCTTCCCCAGCAGAATGGCTGAGGAAGTGCCTTATTATCAGGAATTCTTTCATCTGCACAACAGCTGCCCTATATGACCCCAGGAACGTTAATGGCTTTCCTCTAATGCCAGGGAGGTGCTGAAAAGGTTCACTGAGATGCAGAAATTAAATGAGAGCAGATATACGTTATTATTTCGGCACCTCCGGTGTAGCAAATTGGAATAGTTAGCATCAGACTGGCAATCTCCAAACCCGTCACAGGACACACCAGCAAAATCATTAAGAGGAGGGGGATTTCTTGTATTCTCTAACAAGCCCTGAGAATCCTGGGTCTTCCCAAGGAAACATATTCCTCCTGCAGTCCTGCGGGCAGAGGAGATCTAGCAGCCCTGCAGCAGTCAGCCAGCCAAGGATGCTTCCTTGCCACCAGGGTACCACCATAAAACCTCTGTCTGGATGAGGGGTAATTATCATCTGTGGACCAGGCAGCTGCTCGGTCTTTAAAAAACCTTGGCTTTGCTGCCTAACCAATGTTTCTGGTTTGTGGCCGAAAACTAAAAGTAACCTTCTCACCTCAACAGCCCACCGTGCTAGCAAGACCAGAGAGCTGGACGTCTGCTATGCTGCTGAAGTCCTACTTTGTCAGTGGCCTTTTATTATCCTTTTGAAAGAGCTTTAGCAATACTCCCTTCACAAAAAATTAACACATGCTCGCTTTTTCTTGGTATCAGCCCTTTAAAAAATGAGCACGATTCACTTTTCAGCACGGTTTTTAAAATTATTATTTTTGACAAGGATAAGCCTTCAGTGGATTAAGCTTTATTACTGAGGTACAAGACCTGTGCTCAACAGGCTTCTTCTAAAGAAATGCTGCGATATCCCAGCATGCTGTCTAGCTCCCTCCTGGTACCAAGGCCCACTAAAATGTTTTAAAATGAAGAAAACTTTTAAAAAAGTACATATGGGAAAATGAAGTAACCATCTTCTGCTCAACAGCTGTTGCTACTTCTATTTGCATTTGAATGTCGGTGAAAAACAGATTTCCATCTTTTTTTTTTTTTTAAATCTGAATCTGGCTGGCTGTTTTTCGTCGTGGAAAGCAAAAGTAGAAATCCCTAGGACAGAACTATGGCCAAGTCCTTGTTACTCTAACACTCGTTGAAACCTGTAAGAGTAGGTATATGCCAGTGGGCTGAGGAAGGGGACAGCAGAAGGACAAGCAATGCTGCACTTCAGCAGGGACTCCCTGAAAATAAACAGCAAAAAAACCCCAATCCAAAACCTGTGTTCTTTTTCAGTAGTAATACCACTTCGGGTTTGTCTGTGCTACAAAAGCGTGAGCGTAGCTACGTCGACATCCCCTGCTCAGCTTGCACGCTGCTGCCGGTGCCTATCCGACCCCTCAGGCAGGTTTGCAAGTGCCGAACAACTGCCCCAACAGCGGTGCCAGCTACTGCAGGGACAACCAGGAGGGATAGGCACCTTCTGAAACATCAACAGGTAAATGTGTTGTGCTACTGAGTTCCTGCCATGGCTAGAAGAGATCACTCATCTACAGTAATATCCTGAGCATGACTCGGTCCGATCCAATCTTTCTCCACCAAGCTTTGGTGACTACGGTTAAAATAACAATTATACAACATAAAAGCTTTTGGTTGTGGACATGACTTGTTTTCTCCTGCATCTACTTCATTACTTGTGCAGGAAACACAGAGGGATATAAACTTGCTTGAGGAGCAGCACTGCAGCCTACAGTATCAAGACCTGTATTCAGAGTCCATATATTATACCCATCCTATTCCTCTCTCCCAAGAGTTACAATGAACATTTTGCAATTTTTAAGGTGATACCTTAAACTAAACAGACATCATGAGGCTATTCTGTTAACTGGGTTAATATCCAGAACTTAGGTCTTCCTGCAGAACTACACTGGCCATAACACCAGCCTGTGCCCAACTTTTTGGCAAGTGAGTGAAAAGCACCACACAGCTGTGAAATACTCGCTGAATTGTTCCACATTCCCCTGCAAATCCTGTCATGCTCTCCCAGCCACCTGTATCAAACAACCAACTTTAAGGCACTTCTGTGGCCGCATCCCACAAGTTTTATACATTAAAATTTGCTGCCTTCTGTTCTCAGTTCTTGGTAACCAATAAAACTAGTGTAGAGATATGTAGCTTTCAGACTGGTTTTCTACCGAAGTATTCATTCTTTAAGTAGGTCATATTTGGAAGGGATGTGTCTGCTAAATACCTTGCTGGCAGAACAAGACAACTCCTATTACATCTTGAAATTCATCTTACGGATTTAAACTTAATACACAAGTGGCTAATATAATGAGCATGCGTTCTACTACATCAGCATTTTTTGTAATCTAGCGGACCCTTCAGAGCAGGTTCATACACAACATCAGCTGGGCTTCAGTACATACTTGCAACTAAAAACAAGGGGGCAGAACGAAATAAAATTAAGTGTTTACCTTTGAGAGATCGGCCGTGATTCTGCTGAAGGACTGAAGTTAGGTAGTGAGGGGACGCTGACCTACTGAGAAGAAATTCAACAGGTCAAAGCCAAGCCCTGATTAGCCAAATGATTTGTACAAAGTATAGTAGACACAATACTATGATCATAGAAAGGTAGAAACAAAACCAACCCAATCACCACAGTTTGGTGGGCAAGCAATTTCTATTGCCCTCAGTAGATGGCTTGACACACTGGTTGGTGGTTTACGTAGCACGATTAAGCAATCGTCAGCATTTGGAAAACACCCCCAAACACACACACACAAAGCAAAAGTCTTGTTGGCAAGAGATGCTAATTTCTACAGATTTTATGTACCTGCCTAAAGGCTGGATTTTAAACAAAGATATGTATTTTTCAGTAAGTAAAACCTACATGTGAACAAAACATTAGCTTATACAGGGATGCTTAGAGCCCAGGAGCAACAGAATAGCTAAGGACCAGTTGTGTCCGTCTGCTCTTCAAAACGGTGGTGGGACATTAACAAAAACGAACGGTCGTGTCGTGCAAAAAGCCAGGGAAGAACCCAAACCAAGTTATCTGCTGATTTTTAAGTTATCTGAAGGTGGGCTGTTTCGGTGATGCTGTCTGCTTTTCTGGATTATCAGACCAGCTTTGCACCAGAATAAAGGGCAAGTTAAAGCTTTCACATGGCTTTCTGCTACACACCCAGCCCTAATTATTCAGTTCATTATAAAGGTCCTAGCAAACATTTAGAAATAAATACAACAAAAATAGTACACAACTATTCAAATTGCATGAAACATAGCAATGTGCCATCTTTTATAGTATTGCTAGAAGAATCCAAAGGGTGATAAGCAGAATTTTCAAACCCAACCTGTAACGGCCAGCCTCACAGGATTAATGGGGTGACTTCTATCATTAAGGTGTGTTTACCTTCTATATTTCTAGGCAGTTCTATTTTCCAAAATAAGGCACAGCCACAAATCTCCCCCCCCAAAAAGTCACGCAGCTGCTAAGTGCTTTATTTTTTTTTTAAATTACCAGTCTAGATCATTAATTAAAACCCAAACAATTATTTCCATTTTTAAAATACCTTTTTAGAACTAAAATCTTCATTCTTTAGGTTGAATTTTGAACAAAATATTTTTCACTGGTGACTGGCCGGTGCTGTGGCTGCACCCATCTTAATAACCCTGAGATCAGCTACTCTGCACAGCTGTTTGAGGGATGCTCATTTAATACTCTCGCTGCTCCGACTTGCCATCATAGTATCCAAACTCAGTTGGCCATTGGTCACAGCTCCAAAGGTTAGCAGAGTGCAGACTGCTAACGGCAAGGAGAAGATGCAAGAAAAATTGAGGGAAGGTGGCTTGAAATACATCATCCGAGCTACGTAAGGAGCTCTTGCAGCACTGCAGCCTGCCTGGTGCTGGTAACCAAAGCTACTGAAAAGGAGAGTAATATTTAAGCATCTCCCAATGTGGTAACCGATGGGAGAAAGATCCAGTGCAGTTGAACCCAAACATGTGCAAAACTCGAGTTCACTGACTGGTATGTTTTCTTGTGGGGGTGACGGAGTGCCAAGGGAACAGACCCAAAAATGGGGGGAAAAAAATTAAAAACAAAGAAGTCACAAGGAAAGCAATGGACCCACCCCAACACGGCTGGCTCCGCAGTCTGCAGGTAAATTGCACAAAGAGATGCTGAACATCTTTTGTCTGAGCTCAGATCCTTCAAGAATCATATCCACACAGAGCTTTCCTACAGCAAATTAATGCCTAGTATTGATTAAGACAAGCTATGCATATGCGTAAGGTATTTGCAAGATGAGGACCCTGGCCGTCCCCAGAGCCCAGGGATATAGTACATGTAGTACTAGAAACAGAATGCAGCTAGGGGCCTTGCACCGACTTGTTGAACAAGCTGTGCAGGAATAAAATGCACCAGTGATGCCAATCATCTATGATAATACAAGTTTCAGTTTAACTAGACACAGATTACAGTTTTGGAAAGCTTCTGCTCAAAGTAACACCTTAATTTTTATTTTAAAATGCTGCTGAATGATAGGTATATTCCCCGCTAACACACTGGAAAATAATTATGAACACAAGCCCTCCCACAGAAAAATTCAGAGACTCTCACAGTCAAATTCTAGCATCATCCTATAGTTAAATTTGGACAGTCCTTCCAGCTTGTCTCCAGCTGTACCTCTGGGCTTTCTCTTTCTCTCCACACACAAGGCAGCCCCTTGGGGGCCCTTCCCCAAAATTAAGCCAGAATTTAAATCTAATACAAGAATTTTTAAACATGTAAGGGAAAAATATAAATCCGTTTTTCCTGTGTATGAGTGAAAGTCCTACTAATGTTTTTTATTATTAAGGGAAAATAAACCAGCTTTCATTAGGGAGAAGTCAGGTGTCTTAAAATGCTGTTTTTATTTTGTTGTCCTTATAAATATAAGCACTGCAAAATCCTTCACGTATTGAAGTCAGTGGGAATTTTGCCATGTGGCTTCATTAGGACCAGGATTTCCTTGTAATTGTTGGCAAGTGTGATTAGTCCTTCAGTGACGGAAAAAAGTTACCAAAAAACAACCGCTTCAAATCAAAGTCCTGATCTTGCAAGTACTTTAGCGTTCAGATAAAATCTCTCCTT